ACAATTATGGATACATGTATTGCCATTATTCATATTAAAGTCACACAAATTGTGAGAGAGTCACAAGAGAAACAGCAAAAGTGCCCCAGGAGATGTTGCTAAGATATTACAGGAACCCAAGAAAATCACAGGTGTTGTTACATCACTACATCAGAAGGTCAAAGTTCACATGAAATACTCCAAAACGATATCTTTTGTCATTTACTCTGTGTCTATCTTGACATTGGTCAAAGTCAGACTCTATAACATAATATTTGCAGTAAATTTCAGAGTTGCACTTTAAAAAAAAAAATTGAATGGCCAAAAAACCAAAACAAAAACAGAGCGACACTGTAAAAGGAAATGTGCCTGCGAGGCTACATCACTGGGACGGCCAGCTGCACTTACCTTTTCAATTTTGTCCAGCCATTCCTTATTCTGGGCCAACTCGGCCATAAAAGCCTGGTGCTTCAGCCATTTCTTATGAAGCTTCTGGGTCTCGTCTCGACTGCTGTCCCTCGCCATTAGCATCTTCTCATACACCCAATCCCCCAGCTGGGTGAGACACACAGATACAGAAGGAGGTGTCAGTACTGGACAGTTACAGTAAATAAATGAGGAGCTGATTCTGCACAGAGGAATTCCTCACTTTAAAAGACGTGACCAGACCAAAGCATTCATCAGTAGGTACATATATTATTCTAATTCATGCATATATGATTCCATTAATTTGTTAAGCAGAAAAACTGAATTATAAATAAAGTGTACTGTAACTAAACAAAGTCAAACACACACATTAAAATTTAATGATGCACAGCAAGCACATGTAAGCAGACACACGTGTACCAACAAGCATGGCGGCAGGGATCTACATGTGCACAACCCCTCACAGACAGTATCCTCAGCTTCAACACACCCACGCAGAAATCACCCCCCTACACACACACACCCCCGCTCTCCATCAAAGAGTAAAATGTGTACATTTTCCACACGGGGACCATCTGCGAGAGGCAAACGGTGAAAAAAAAAGAGCCTCACGCCTGCGCTGAGAGCATCACCAAAATATTCAGGTCAGCATCGGCTCCCTCGTCTCTGCCTCATCAACATTCTCATTCCTGCATGTAATATTTCCACCTGCACCGCCAGCCCCGCACCTAAACCAGATATGCAAATAGAATAACCCGTTTACCGGCAGTGTTTAAGATCAGCAGCCCACGGGGTTGTGGCAGCTGCAGGCAGCCGCTGGTATCCGCATCCTCGCTCGTCTGCTGTCTCACGCATGCAAAGATGCTCTTCACCGCAGAGCCAGAAAGCAAAAAAAGAAAAGAGAGGACGGAAAGAGAAGAGGGGTGCCTTCTGCAGAGCCAAATACCCTGGGCAGTGATGCAAAGGTGAAGGGAAAACGCCAGGCAGGAGGGTAAATAACAACAATCCTGGAGAGAAGAGACAGACTGGAGACTTCAAACTGAGGCTGCGCTACCCTCTCTTCCCTCTCGCTCTGTCTCTCTCTTGCACTCAAACAGGAGAGAGAGGAGGGGCGGGGGCAGAACAGTGACGAGGGAAAGAGTGACGATGACTGAGAGAAGAAGAAAAAGAACCCCTCCTTCCCAAAACAATAAAATGGCAGGCAGCCGAGCCAGTACGCGGGCGCCCCTCCCCTTTCCTCACACCTTCAGCGAGCGGGCAGCTGAGTGAGCGAGCGAGCCAATCGGCTGGTTGGATGGTTGGAGGAGAGATGAAGTGT